AGGTCGGGGTAGGCTTATAAAGCCTTGCCCAGCCCAGCAATTAGGCTCAGAGCACTCTGATTGGTGGGTTTAAGCCATCCAATCAGAGTGCTCTGACAGGTAAATGAAGAGACTGACAGGTAAGTCTCTACATTTATTGGTCACAGCACGCTGATTGGTTGGTTTGAAATCCACCAATCAGAGTGGTCTGTGTAATTTGACTCATAACTCTCTGATTGGTTACTTAATCCACCTAAATTGGACTTTCAGCCTTTTGGTAGATAACTCCCTAATACCTTGGGAATTAGGGAGTTATCTACCAAGCGGCTGCAAGACAAGTTCCGAAATTTCGAAGTGCCGAAGTTCTGAAGGTCCAAAGTGTCGAAGTGCCGAAGTTACCTGAGTTCCGAAGTGCCGAAGTTGCCGAAGTTCCGAAGTGCCGAATTGCCAAAGTCCCGAATTGCTGAAGGCCCTCTCAGGTTATAAACATCTTTTTTACTTACTCATGCCATTATAGAGAGAATCATTCACATCAAACTGATCCAACAAGAGCAGTTTAGAACTGAAATACCAAGGAAAGTTAGTGCACATGTACAAGATATACATCAACCCCTAATGTTTCTTTTATACCTACCGGGTCTCATTAGTGAGGTGTAGCTGATACCCCTGTAGAAACAGTAAGCAATTGGCCACTGTCTGGATTAAACAAAAGGTTTAGTGAGACCCTAACAATATGTAAACCAGTTGGAAATCTAAAGAGTAATATAGATATGCGACCCTTTGATCACTAAGTATTGAGGAGTATTAATGATCAGGGCCAGACTACAAATAGTTTTTTTGTTCCGGGCATTTTTTAATCACAGTGGCCCAGTGGGAAGGGAGCAGGACCTACAAGGGGCTGTTGTGTCATCACAAATTACTAGCACCCCCCTTCCACCCTCAAATTGAACATGTTAGTTAAATGCTCTTTCTGGGCAGCCCATGTGCAGAGTCCTGCTGGAGAGCTCTTAAATGGGAAAAAATGTGTTCTGCGCAGCGCAAGCTAATTTAATGACATGCTTGTCCTGTGCTTGCTTATAACTTGTCTCTGGTTTCTTAATTATTGGAATACGAGAAGATAAAAAGGCCATGAATGAGTATTACGTACGTGTTTGGAGGCAGTTGGTAGAATTGAGTGTGTGTAGAGTGAGGTGATTGGGGTGTTGTGTTTTGTGTTTCAGTTTCAGTTCACTTGTGGTGAATTATGTGTGGCTAGGGTCTGTAGAGAGTGTGAGTGTTTAGGTGCTAAAGTGTATGTATACAAGGGGCGTAGTGCATGTATAGGGGATACAGCGAGTGTGTGCATAGGGGCTGTAGAGTATCTGTGTATAGGTGACAGAGTGTGCGAAGGGGATGAAGTGTGTGCACTGTTTGTAAGGGGTATAGTGTGTGTGTAGGGCTATAGTGTGTGAGGGGTGCAGTGTGTGCTTAGGGATGCAGTGTGTGTGAGGGGTGCAGTGTGTGTTTCATGGTGCAGTGTGTGTCTAGGGTTGCATTGTGTGTGTACGGGTGCAGTGTGTGTTTACGGGTGCAGTGTGTGTGTAGGGGTTTAGTGTGTGTGAGAGGTGAAGTGTGTGTGTGAGTAGTGCAGTGTATGTAAGGGGTGTAGTGTGTTTGGTGGTGTAGGGTCTATATTGTGTGTGGGAGGGTGAGATGGTAGCAAATGGATATATTTTTTGAATTAAAGACTTTATTTCCCCCCTCCCCTCTTCTTACCTTTAGCCACTGAAGGGGGGCATTGCTAGCCCTGGTGGTCCAGTGGTGATGAGTGACTTTAGCATGCAGCTCCTCTTGTGAGCTTAATGCTATTTTGGAGGATTGCCATGATAAGCAGACAGTGAGACCGGCTCTGCATGGGCCTGCTGGGGAGATGGGCCTCAGCCCATGCCCTTTGTGGCCCACCAGGTATGTGCATGTTTTGCCCAATGGCCAGTCCATGCCTGTTAGTAAAAAATACCTAGAAAGTGAAATTGTGTTGTTCAGAGGGGCCTGGCTTTTAAATACTAAATTACCCTTGTAGGTAGGAATAGTCTAATATACAAATTATGTTTCTTCCCTGTGCATTGGCAGAAGTGAGCTGAAGATGTTTGAGATCTGAGCTGGGATTAACCAGTGGGCAAACTAGTTGACTTTGTTAATCTTGTTATTCCTATGTACCTGCTACATACTTTGTTTTGTAAAGAAGATCCAGCTTCCTGTACGGAGTTAATACATCATCCGATCTGAGATGGTACCCAGCATATTACCATTTCATATTTAAGATTGGTTGATGTCATATAACTCTATAGGTTCTGACTTCGGGCTTGGTTTCTACCTCTCTAGGAAGCTACTACATTTCTAGTTATCAACTCTATTAATATTATACAGCCACGGTTATTTGACATGATTGGTTGTTGCTCTACAGCAGCTGTATCCCTGTACAATATCCTAAAGGTGGGATTACACAATCAAATTCAAAACCCTAGTATCACCTTAATCTAATACAATTTTCCACTCTGTTTCTGATATAACATCTAATTGAAACGATTTGATATTAGTATAGGGCTATGCTTTTCCATAATACATTTTTGACGTAGTAGCTAAAGCCTAGCCAAGTGAAAGAACAGTTAGGTAGATTTTCTGGCTGCTTGCAACATCGTCATACTTGCAGCGTCCCTTTATTAAAGTGTACAAAGAAACACTTTAAATGAAACATGTTCACAATCCTGTAAACCAAAGCTAGAAACTTGCATGTGAGCCTTTTATGATATTTGCAGCTCATATTTATAAAGTCAACAGTGGCTGCATGGCCCTTGCCAGATTCCTCCTGTTATCTTCTTATTCTGACAGCAGTGAATCTCATTCTGCCCTCTGCTGGATAGACTACTGTTATAGCAGGCCCATCGCATGTCAATTTGGCTCTTTCTAATTGCTGAAGAATATGTGCAAATGCAGTCTTTGGCGCTGCTAAACTTTTATTTAAATAATTTCTTTGCAGATCTATAGTTCTATTATTATAATATCTGCATTTATATAGTGGCAGCTTATTCTGCAGAGCATTACAATATAATTAATGGGAATTAATTACAAGGAACTCATGCTACAGACTTGATATTCCACTGGTCCTCTAAATAGATGTTATCCCAAATCAGCATAACAGATTATACATTTATTCAACAATCATAAGTATCTAAAACGTAGATCTGTCAGGCGTCATCTCCAAACATAATCTCCAAAAAAGAGAATAGCAAACAGGATAAAAAAACAAAAACAAAACAGTGCGTTTCGATGTTTAATGTCATCAGGTGTCTAATGTCCTGAGAACATTTACATTTATACCTTAAAATCAGCAGTTGTTGGTACTCCTATTATGTAGGTAGACAACGATCCATTCAGCATCTGATGTCACTTCTTTTTTTCATTGATATAGACATAACATTTAATGTCACCACACATTGTGAAAACACCTGAAGTCCTCCATTCACCATCTTTAATAATCAGGAAGGAACAATCACTTTCAGTTATGGGGTATAAATATAGATGTTAAAGACGTGTTTTTATTGTGTTTTTCTTATCCTGGTTGCAATTTTCTATTACTGTATGGAGATGTTGCGATACCTACTTGTAAGATTTAAATGATTGCCCAATACATGCATCATTTTTTATGTCTTTTGGTGTATGTCTTTCAAGGAATGGTGGGATATTAAGACCATCACCCAGTTTCCACAAAATGACTGCTACACACACTACTACACATATACTCAAACCCAGTACACACATTACTACACATAGGGTTTGACATAGTACACATTCTAACAAACAAAACTGTGTATATGTGTGTGTACTGTATATGCACTTTTTAAAATCATATTTAGACAGTCAAGTTTTTTGTCAAGATTTTTCTTTTGGTTGGTTTGTATAACTTGAGGAGGGGGCACTTGAGAATTCTGTGGACAGAGGGGCTTGTGATGTAAATCTCGCCCTGGGCAGACCAAGCTTGGTGGCAGGGTGCCAGCTGCCTTCACACTGGCATTATAATAGGTGAGGCCATTATAAGAAATTAAGATTGGCAGGGGTAGAGGGAGTGTCTCTTATCTATGGCCCTCTATGCAGAATAAGAGAATGCTGGGAAAGTGCTTTAATGCAGACAAATTGGTGCCAGGTCCATTGAGTGTGCACCCAGAGGAGGGGGGGGCAGGGGGATATGGTAGAGATAGGCTCCTGAGCCCTGTCTTCCCAAACTGCAGAGCTTTTCATCAACACAGTGAAAAGAAATTGCAAGTAGTATTTAAGTAGCGATTTATGGAATTTTCTAATTCACAATTTTATTTTTTCTCTTGTGTCAATATCTGCGATGTCATGTCCTGTATTGCCATTAATGCAGATGGCATATATATGTGATTAATTAGTTATGCAGATTAGCACGACCAATATTTTTTCCCCCCAAGAAATGTGGCAACCTTTGGTTCCATATATAATGTAAATGTGATACATTTTTGTGTTCGTGATTTCTTAGTAAATTTGTGATTTACGAATGTAGAGTGTACTGTGTGTTATAGAGTCAGTATGATCTTCCTGTTTATTTACAATCTCTTCAGTATTGCATCACTGAAGAATGCAATAGTTTTAACAAATTTCTGTCCATTTTTCCTTCCCACTGACGTCATATTAACCGATCTCCAAAAAAGTACATTTTGACAAATCATAGAGATTATCATTAAATTCTCACACACATAACACATTTACTGTATTCCTCCATCCAGTTTCTTTATCCCCGAACCTCCCCATCCCTGCCTTTCCTCTCTCTCCAGACTGCTGTTTCTGGTTGTGCCGAGTTTCAGACATTCTCATCACCCTTCCCACCAGCGTCTACCCAGAAATCTACTTTGACATTTTCTACTCAATATTTACATAGCTTATTCTTTTATTCTTTTTATTTGCAATATTTTATGAATATGAAACATTTTATATTCAGAAAATTATATAATAGTAAGCAATAATTCCTGCAGGATCAAACTGTTAAAATAATCGTTCAAACAGTAGCATAGTTCTTTTGTGCATTTTCATTTTATAATTTCTCAAGCACATGTCTCTGGAATCCAGAAATGTGCTTTATTGAACAGAATTAATATGTATATTTAAAGAGTAATTGTGGCAAGAATAATTCATGTTAAATAAAAAAAATAATAGATTAAATATTCTAAGCAAATATTTTTACCACAACATGATTTAATTGATAGTTATAAAGAATTTATTTTTTTAAAAACCCTCACATTTACTCAGTAATTTTCCTCATCTTCGGAGTCCAAATTCCACCCTTACCCTATTGAGTAATTTTTGGAGTCATAATTTCACCATCCAATTTCTTGTAAAGAATGAACATGTTCTGGCTACTCAATATATGCAAGTGAGCCTCCTAATGTCTGTGTGTTTTGCTGTACTGGGAGTTCGCAGAGTGCACACAGAACAATTTCCTACCCAGCAATCCCGAAGGCTCATAATTTGACAGAATGACGAAACTGAAAAAAAAAGTAAAGACACACATTACATGTTGCTCAGACAACTAGTGTAAAAGAAATGAACATGTAGGTAATTAGTCAGTAGACAGTTTTTGTCACAATGGAAACTTTTGCTTCATCCCGAATGTATTCGGGAGAAATACATTTTTGGTTGTCCAAAACCATTGCTGTCTGTTGGACTGTGCGGTTTGGAGGAAATTGCTATGAAATTTCAGTTAGAGCAGTCTATTTGTTTTCTTACAGAGTGCTCTGGCAAGTATATCTCAGTTATCATGAGACTTGCCTGGAAATTTCATTCTAAAAGCTTTTCCCGCTATGCTAGCTCAATGTGTGCAAAGCCATTGCTGGGCAAAGATGGATTATTATTATTATTGCATCACTTTTTTTTCTGGCAGCTTTTTCTTGCGATACAATCCTTTTTTAAGTTTGAATTGTTGCAACAAAACTTAGTATTTTTTATTTTATTTTTATTTATTTTTGTCAAGGAATTTAGTTTATTGCCCCTCGCTCTCTCTTAATAGGGTAAGGGAAGATACACAGGGCATATTTGTGTCAGAGGTGGAAGAAGGCCACACAGGAAGAAGGTCAAAGAATACTGGGAAAACTTTGATAAGGAAGCAATCTGCACTCAGGGATCCAGGACCACTATTGGGGACATTTCTTTTTATTCATGAAAAGCAAATTGCTCTTCTAGTAAATGTAGGGGTTAACAATCTAAGAGCCTATGGTTGAGGAACAGGAACCAGCTTCCCTCAAAGTGTGCTTTGTGAAGTCGTTTGGAAACAGCTACCTTGTTTGTTTCTCCTTGCCAGTTCCCAAAGCGCGCTTTGAGGGAACTTTTATTTAATTTTATTCTTTTATTTTATTAAATTTGATAAAATTTAATTCTTGCCGGCTGGACAGCATTTCACCTTTTGCAAAAAAAACAAAACACTGAAGTGTTAATGGCATGCAGACAGTCTTCAATTTACTATTTAAACTCCTACACAATGGACAATAAAACACATAACACACCAATTCATTACAAACCATAGAACTCATACTCCGCAATCATTATAATATCACACATCATCACAGTCACCATTTACACAGAATAAACTTTTAACAGCTGTATTCAGAATATATTATTGTAAGGTATACCAATTTTAGTTTGTATCAGATTTATTTCCTTTATTACCTTATTAATTATTCTACTACAGTATTGTTTATAAAGAAGGGATCCCTTTATATAGCGTGCTCTTAACTTAGATATTTGTATGAAACTTGCATTAACTAATTGCAACATATGTACCCTGTCAATAGAATTTCTCTCTTATAATCTTATAGAAATTGAGCAAACATGGACCAGATTACACAGACATGGTATCACCTGCATTTGTCAGAACTCTCTAACACTCAAGACTGAGTAAGAGCAGCTGTCTTGGAAGCAAGGTTCCGACAATACTGTCACTTACTCACGAGCTTTTATGCTTAAAATTGAGTAATTCAATCCAATCTGTATCCTTGATTAATCAGTGAACAAGAGCAGCTGCTTGGAACGCAGGGGGTCCCACAAGACTGTAACTTGTTCACAATCTCAGTGGCTTAAAATCAAGTACATCAATGGTATATAATATACATAACTTATACTCTATGCAATATAGCCATACAGCAATTTTTATAGCAAGCAAGCTGTCATGCACAGGGATTAGGGTTAAACCTGGCCGTCAAGAAGGTACATGTATTCAATATAATTTAGGTACCGGTACTCCTGACTTCTACCAAAGAAGTCCCATATTACTTAGCCTACCAAAGGTGTGTCTCCCACCCAGGGAGTTCCTTTATTTAGTCTACCAAAGACCAGCTCCTAGTCTACCACAGACTAGCCCCAAAAATCCCCTTAACTAGAGATGCAACATGTGAATAGTGAGAGCAAGAGAATAGGCGTCTAAAAGACACAATTCACTTACCCTTCACGTTTCTAGTTGCATCCCACCTCTAACACCAGCTTGTAGGCGTTAACATTCTAAGAACCTCTGGTTGACGGACAGGAACCTGCTTCCCTCAAAGCGCGCTTTGGGAACCAGCAAGGAGACACTCACATAAGGTAGCTGTTTCCAAATGAGTTCCTCGGTTTATTGATACAACATAATATTTATACTGCATAAGGTGTGAGCGAGAGCAATTACTTGGGCTGGTTTCTAACATTACTACATACAGCTTGTCCCTTATCCACATAGAAAATGTTAAAATTTCAAGGTTTGTCCTGTAAGCCCATACCAGAGATAGTGAGTCACAGTTTCAGCAGAAAATTTCAAGCTATTTCATCATAAAATTTCAAACTGTTTTGCTTCTGCAGGCATGGATTAACCCTTCAGTAAGTACAAGTATTCCACTTTGTAATAAATACATTTAACTCTTTTATAATAAGTGATTCTACAAATGTAATTAAGGTCCTGCTGGATCGGAGGATATCTCCTGCTGGGAAGACTGCAATATGCCGCCCCTGTTAAAATGCTGCCTGGGGTCATTGCCCCAGTTCATCCTATAGACAGGCTGGCCCTGCCTGGAGCCGATCTATACATGAGTTTGGCAGTGAATTGGCTGGATGTGAACTTAAGGCAGCTCATCATGAAATATGAGATAGATTGTTGTCAGTTTTAATTCTATTGCTTATTTATGTGCTACAGAAAAATATTAAAGCCAATATGTAACTTTTAAATCTTACCATGACTTTTTTCAAAGTCAAAAGAAATTAAATTTTACAAGATCAATGCGTTCCAGAAGGACAAAAAAATAAATAAAATAAAGTACACAAAAACAAACAACAAAACACAACACCTCTCTTAATAAAACATTGTTTCTTTTACAATTTCCCTTACTTGGACACAGAAAACACTTTAAAGACAATAACTCTGGATTTCAAAGAGAATGGACTTTTTAATGAAATATGTCATTGTTTCAAAGTCTTTTTGTAACCCAAAACAGTTCCCAATGATTATAGTGGCCACCTTGTGCCGCTAGTTTTCTTGTCTGGTATCGAAATCTCTTGGCCCTCTCTATCCCAAATTAAAAGAGCTCATTGTATGAAGTGTGTATGAGAGTATCTGTAGAATTTATACATGTATCACATGTACAGGTGATACTCGAAAAATTAGAATATCGTGCAAAAGTTCATTTATTTCAGTAATGCAACATAAAAAGGGAAACTAATATATGAGATAGACGTATTACATGCAAAGCAAAGCCGTGATTTGTCATAAGTGTGATGATTATGGCTTACAGCTCATGAAAACCCCAAATCCACAATCTCAGTAAATTAGAATATTAAATGCAATCAATAAAACAAGGAGTGTACATAGAACAAGCTCGTCTGCGGAAGGAAGCATGAAGTGCTCAAAAATCTCCTGGTAGACAGCTGCGTTGACCCTGGACTTAATGAAGCACGGTGGACCAACACCAGCAGATAACATGGCTCCCCAAATCAACACAGACTGTGGAAACTTCACACTGGACTTCAATCATCTTGCAGTGTGTGCATCTTTATTCTTCCTCCAGACTCTGGGTCCTTGGATTCCAAATGAGATGCAAAAGTTGCTCTCATCAGAAAAGAGGACTTTGGACCACTGAGCAACAGACCAGGTCTGTCTTTCTTTAGCCCAGGTTAGACACTTCTGATGTTGTTTGTTGTTCAGGAGTGGCTTGACAAGAGGAATACGACATCTGAAGCCCATGTCTAGGATCCGTCTGTGTGTGGTGGCTCTTGATGCACTGACTCCAGCCTCAGTCCACTCCTTGTGAAAGTCCCCAACACTTTTGAATGGCCTTTTCCTTACAATCCTCTCCAGGCTGCGGTCATCCCTGCTGCTTGTGCACCTTTTTCTGCCACACTTTTCCCTTCCACATAACTTTCTATTAATGTGCTTTGATACAGCACTTTGGGAACATCCAACTTCCTTCACAATTACCTTTTGAGGCTTTCCCTCCTTGTAGAGAGTGTCAATGATGGTTTTCTGTACAACTGTCAGGTCAGCAGTCTTCCCCATGATTGCGATTCCTACTGAACCAGACTGAGAGACTATATAAAGGCTCAGAAACCCTTTGCATGTGTATGACTTACTTAGCTGATTAGAGTGGGACACTGTGAGCCTAGAATATAGCACCTTTTCACAATATTCCAAATTACTGAGATTGTGGATTTGGGGTTTTCATGAGCTGTAAGCCATAATCATCGCACTTATGACAAATCATGGCTTATAGTATCTTGCTTTGCATGTTATGCGTCTATCTCATATTAGTTTCCCCTTTTACGTTGCAGTACTGAAATAAATGAACTTTTGCACGATATTCTAATTTTTCGAGCATCATCTGTATATACTGTTTCTGCCGAGATTAAGGACATTGATTGCACAGAGGTGATCTGTGACTTATTACCCATATAATAGGGGAATTATTGAATGGATGACATCACCATCCATGCAGTAAGGAGTTGATTTGCCTGGTGAAATATTTTATTTATAAAAATATAGAGAGATTAAGCCACTAAATCTTGCTTAAAATTGTTTTCTTGGATAGTGATACTTTGTGAAGTCATGACTATATACCTTTTTACATTTGAAAGCAATATTATATAAATTTAAGAAATTATTTATTAATTTAAGAAATAGTTTGGGACTAATGATTTTGGGGAATGTAATATACACTGCCTGGCCAAAAAAAAAAGTTGCCATCTGGATTTAACTAAGCAAATAGTAAGAGCCTCCTTTTAGATAGTTACAACACGGGCGATTATCTTTCAGCTGGCAACAAGTTATTGTTATTATTACTCATTTCTTAAACAACCATGTTAAAAAGACACTACCCGTGGTCGTGGAAAAGATGTTAATCTGTTTAAGAAGGGTCAAATCATTGGCATGCATCAAGCAGAGAAAACATCTAAAGAGATTGCAGAAACGACTAAAAGTGGGTTAAGAACTGTCCGACGCATTATTAAAAACTAGAAGGATAGTGGGGAAACACCAGTGATGCTCGCATCAGGGTAAGAAGAGAGGCAGATGAAGTGATGCACCCATCATGCCCAGTGGTGTATCCTGGTTTTGTTCTGCAATAGGCATGACAAAACTCAGGTGTCCCCTCCTAACCCCCGCACCACCCCCACCCTGCCCCCCTGCCCCACCTTCTAAATACACACACACACACATTCACTGACAGATACGCATACACTCACTAACAAACACACAATCACTAACAAACAGACACACACACACACAAACAGACACACACACTCACACTCACAGACACACACACATGTACAAACACACACACACGTACAAACACACACTCACTAACAGACACACACACACTCACTAACAGACACACACACTCACTAACAGACACACTCACTAACAGACACACACACACACACACTAACTCACTAACAGACATACACACTAACAGACAAACACACTCACACTAACAGACACACACACACACACTCACTAACAGACACACACACACTAACAGACACACACACTCACTCACATTTACACACTCATGTTTCTTTTTTTAAATGTAACCCCCCCAGTCTCCATACCTTTAGGAATACTGGGGGGGGGGAGGGTTCTCCCTTTCCCTGGGGTCCAGTGGGAAAACCTGTGGCTGTCCAAAACATCACAGTTGGCAACTATGTTTTCAGTGAACATTAAGTATTAATTTCTTATTTCTGAATCATCACTACTTTGGTAACTTTGGTGAACTCACACTAATACGACTCGGCAAGTTTCACATTCCATGCAAATGTTTTACTATATATTACAGAATAAAATTATGAAGGAACATTTCATTATGCGCACTGTAATTTCATTTCCCCAGTCATCAACCATGGCAGCAGGTCAGCTCCTCACTCCCAGACTAAGGCAAAATATTTTTAAATTCGTTTTTAAGGCATGTAAGGGCTTACCTTCCCTTCTTATTTAACTTTTCAAGCAGGGTTTCAAAATCAATGCTGCAATGATTGATGACCAGGAAAGGACAATTACAGTAAGCAATGATAACATTTCCATTCCCCCAGCATCACCCTTATCAGTATTAGCATTACTATCAAGATAATCATGTTGAGGAAAAAGAACACTAGGAAATGCCAGTATTACAGAAAAAAAACTTAGAGAACATAAATATAGAAAGATGTGAACCTTGATTAAACTGAGTCTGTGACACACACAATTACATATATGCTGCCTTTCGAATGCCCCATAAAAAGCCACTCGTGATAAAGTTAAATAAATTGTTGTTACATGTGTGCTTACTACTGTCCAATACATTAGATATTGTGCATTGAACACTGTTTTCTAGTTTTTATATTCTTAAAATCGGCAAGCTTAACTAAGACTAAATGTTTTACCTATGCCTCAATAAAATATAATAATAAAAACAAAAATAAACAAACACATATTGATTTAAGACCTTGCTGCTACTCTGTAAAAATATTCGAGAGATATCCTGGAAGACAGCCACCAGAGTTAACGGATAAGGGGACAGGGACACTGCACCCAGATCACTTAATTGAAATGAAGTGGTCTGGGTGCCTATAGTGTTCCTTTAACCCTGCTCACACCAAAACTAAAGGATGTCCTGTAAAAGATAACAGCTACCCAGTTACAACTATTATTTACCAGGTAGCCATGGGAATTAATGAACGATTTATATTTATTACATGATCCATCCTGTTCTAATAGAGCTGGAGGGAAGGGATTAATTAAATATTTGTTTACAGTGTTGGTGAGTGATAAAAGAGAGTGTGAGCATTGATAGGTTAATTAGTGCAGCTGTATTGGATAATAGAGTTGTGAACGGTGAGAAAATTAGTTTCTGCCAAACCACTTCTTCGAAAAATAAAATTGAAAAAATAAATAATTAAATTGCTAGTCCAAATTTCATTAACAAAAACGATTCGGGAAAACAAAAAAGACAAAAGAGTCAGGCATACAAAACAAAAAAAAACCAGACAAAATAGTCCATAAATGGGCCTGGGCCAATCAGTGTACTACACAATATAAATATTCTGTACAGATTTTGCAGTACACAGATAGGAACATTTTTGCATCATTTGGTCCACAGATCAAACGACAAAAAGTAAAAGTAAAAAGAGGAAGAGCAGTTAAAAGAAATCTATAGTTATGTATCATAAGTTTATTAAATATATAATATATAAATACAGATTTTTTTTAAATGCCCCTCCTTTTTTCGGCCTTAATGCCTCACATGATCTGTGAATAAAATTAACAGTTAGTGGCGGTCTCTGAGCTATCCATCATCTTTTTTCCCCATCAAGAATAATTTAAACCAAAGAAAAAGATCAAGCCTTTTGTGCAGAGAATACTCACTTAAGTAGCATAAAAAAGGGGGATAACCCCTAAATCAGTGAATATCAATAAAACAAAACCAACGAAAAAACAAAAAGAAATCTACCTATGAGTGTCTTCTCTTAGTGAGAGGACTAGTGAGCAAAAATTGAAAGGTTAACTATAACTTTTATTTGATTCCTATAAAATATTGAAAGTGAAAGGTAAAATCAACACGTAACTCAGTGCTACTATAACCGTTGCAAAATCGATATCAACAGAAAGAACTGCACTCTCTCATTGGCTCAGCTCCTCTTAACACAGCTTATTCCTAATACTTATTTTATTAGTAGCTGAAACGGGGAGTTTAGAAACAGGGCAGGTTTTATGCATAGGAGTGCCATCGAACGCACTGGAGATTCTTACTCTATGATAGGAGAAATAGTCTCTAAGAATTATGTTTCCCCCTGTCTTCCACCTGTTCTAAACTAGTACAAGTATCACATACATGTCACTAATTCAGATGATTTGATTTGCTATGATATCGCTACTATACTCAACTGATACAATAAGGAAGAATCTGTACTCTATTGATTTTACCTTTCACTTTCAATATTTTATACAAATCAAATAAAAGTCATATTTTACCTTTCATTTTTTGCTCACTAGTCCTCTCACTAAGAGAAGACACACTCATAGGTAGATTTCTTTTTGTTTTTGCGTTGGTTTTGTTTTATTGTTTAGAGGTGCTTCTGCAAAATAGAATTCATCTGGGCTATTTCACTCAGATGGTCTCATAAGGCCGTTTGACTTTTGCAGCACAGTGTTTTGCCATGCATGCACACTATCCTCCCAATGATTTCTTATGGGAAAGTACTGGATTGGCTAAGATTATCAAGAATGATGATCTCAGCCATGGAGGCAGGGCCTGCTGCAGAGAGAGCACCACAGCAATGGAGAAAAGATAAGTAAACTACCTTCTCACTTCACATGGGGTGGAGGGCTGAGATAACCTAATTGGTAAGCAGGTCACTGTAGTGTTGGGATTTATGCTTGTATTTATAAAAAGCTATAGTGTTGCTTTAAGGATGGCTGTAATGTGCATCCGGTTACTGCAGAGATGGGTGCCTATCCGGACCATCATTTATTGTCTGAAAGTGTCAGTTGACCGCTGTCCGCAATGGCGTACATACCAGGGTCGCAGGGGTTGCGGCTGCGACCGGGCCCGGCCCACCAAGGGGGCCCGGCCCACCAAGGGGGCCCGGCCGCCCCTGCGACCCAGTGTGTACCCACGTCATCTTCTGGCACCGGCATCCCTACGTGGCGCACGAGGGAGCTGAAGAGGAAGCACTCAGAGCAGAGTGCTCCCTCGCGCGCCCGCCTGCCCGACCGGCCACCCGCCTTCCGGGTGTCAGCAGCACCACTGGACCCCAGGGAATCCCCCAAGCACTCCAAAAGGTAAGGAGGCTGGGGGGAATAAAATTTTTTTTTTAAATGTGTGAGTGTTAGAGTGTTAGAGTGAGTGTGAGTGTTAGTGTGAGTGTTAGTGTGAGTGTTAGTGTGTGTGTCTGCTAGTGAGTGTTAGTGTGTGTGAGTGTTAGAGTGAGTGTGAGTGTGTGTGTGTGTCTGCTAGTGAGTGTCAGTGAGTGTGTTACTGTGTGTGTCTTACTGAGTGTGTGTGTGTGTGTTAGTGAGTCTGTTTGATGTCTGTTAGTGAGTTTGTGTTTGTCACTGAGAGTGTATGTTTTGTAAGTGAGTGTGTATGTATGTCTGTCGCTGAGTGTGTCTCTGTCAGTAAATGTGTGTGTCTGTTAGCTAGTGTGTATGCGTCTGTAAGTGAGAGTGTGTGTGTCTTCAGCACTTACCTTTCTCCAGCGCCGGACTCCCTTGGCGCTGGGGATCCCTCAGCCTCTCAGCTCCGAATGCGACCGCGCACGCATTCAAACCGCCCATAGGAAAGCATTACTCAATGCTTTCCTATGGACATTCAGTGTGCTCCTCTAGCGGCTGTCAGTGAGACAGCCACTAGAGGCTGGATTAACCCTCAGTGAAACATAGCAGTTTCTCTGAAACTGCTATGTTTTCAGCTGCAGGGTTAAAACTAGAGGGACCTGACACCCAGACAACTTCATTGAGCTGATTTGATCTGGGTGTCTGTAGTGGTCCTTTAAGTGTGTGTGCATCTGCATGCACTGGCGTACATATCGCGGTCGCAGCCCTGTAACCCCTGCGACCAGGTGCCCACCGCCATGTGTTGCGGCCCGGCCCGCGCGCGCGGGGGGGGAGCCTACGGATCAATTTTCGCACCAGGGCCCCATGGGTCATGTGTACGCCACTGGCTGTCAGCCAAGGATTGCAGTTCTGTGTATAGGAATATGCACAGAATTGACATTACCCAGGCAACAAAATCTAGTTCCAGGCTGGCTGATGACACCACAGTGACACTGCCGAAGGTGGAGTTACAACTCTGGCATCAGAGGTGTTAATTTCCGTATGTGCAGCATACAGACTCTAGTCACCATGACCCCTTCAAATCACTG